TAGTATACGGAAATATTTACGAATTTATTATACTGTTTTTCTACGTTTATTATACGTTTTTTAAACGTATTATTTCCATATACTTTCCTTATACATATTATTTATAGGGGATTCATACTTTTGCACAGTTTATCATATGATGACCTGGATGATTGTATAATTCTAATTTGTATTATATAAGAAAATAAGTTTAACATAAATAAAAATGTTAAATGCAATTTACTATTTACTTTTGTTAAAATAAAATTATTTAGAAATAAGATAAACAGTGCAGGCATTTAGACGAAAATCCATAGTGATAAAAATAAATGAATACAATACACAAATATGCAAGTATATAGATAAAGTTACACAATCAAAAACTACTGAAAATGCTATATAAAATAATAAGCTAACTTATTGATATCATTCTCAAAAATTAACTTCGTCTAAATTCAGAGTGCTGCAGCCTTAACGATCAATTTGCTGCTGTCATTTCTGGCATATCTATTGGAATTGATTCTTCATATTTTTCTACAAAGACTCCTTGAGATAATAGAATATATATGTCAAAATGTCCATTTTTGATATAACGAGACCATTAATAAGCACCTTTATTTAGCCGCAAGAATTAGTTTAGTAATCATGCTAAGAATTCTATAACCAAGATATAGGAAGAAAATTTATTATAAAAAGAAGGATTTTTCATCTTAGATTAGAATTAGATAGTTTTCTTTTCTCTTTAAGACTATTACAGAGTGCTAGCAGAAGTAGTAATAGTTGCATTTATTGTATTATTTCACACTTTATTTCTTTAATAAAAATCCTTATTTATTTATTTATTTATTTAATTAATTAACATACATATTTCGCTATTGTGTTATATAAAATCTATAATAAAAATAAAATTATCTCTTTACGAATTTAAAAGGTGACTCTGACAGGCTGACAACTTAACATGACTAGAATTTATTGATGTTCTGTGACTTTTGAAATTAGCTGTAAAGTTATTTTGCTGAGTTTGAAATTCAAAATCATTATTATAATCGACTTTTGATTTTGGCAATTTTTCGACTTTTGATTCTGAATCCTAGCTTTGATCCTTTAACGATGATGGTTAAGTTTTAGTTCATTGATAAAAATGTTTCAGAATAGTATTCCAAAGAGGTCAGATCATATTGAATTCAGAGTAATCTGAATCTGACCCAAAAGTGCAAATGAACTATTAAAAATATTCAGGTCAGCATTTATATAACTTGAAACTGAATTGATCTGATTATTGTTAAATTTATGGTAACTCATTTTATGAATAATGTTAATGCTAAGAAACAAATTTCAATATGATTATTTTACCAGGAGTTTTTATAAATTATTTATTGTATAGTACTAATGCATCATTTTTTAATGTTAGTTAATACATTGAAAAATAATTTCAAATTAACTTCAAAACCTAGATTTTAATATATACTGTATATGGACGAATTAAAATATATATGTTTAAAGCATCAATGTTTTGCTGCGCAATTAAATAAGCTCTACCATAAAAAAAACTCACTTTGCTGGTATGAATATTATAAGCCAAGTCTTATTTGCATAACTTGTAAAAAACCTATAATGATAATTGTTTATGTATATCTAAAACAGATATTTGGAAAAAAATAATTGTATGAGAATATGAAATTGATTTTCATCATCTACCTCTATCATAAGCAGGTGCAATGAAATAAAAAATAAATTGGATATAAATTTTATTAATTAGTTTCAAGCTAAAAATTTCTTCACAAATTAAAATTTCATTATCTTATCAGATGTTAATATATACCAAGTATATTTGAATAAATATAAATTTATGCCTAATAAGAGTATTATATTTAAAATATCTAAAATATTTATTGTATTATATATATTATAATTTATTTTAAAAATTCAATACAAATGAAGCAGAAACTATATACTTAACTATGAATTTTGCATCTAAAATTGAATCTAAAGAAACTTCTATTGATCATCTAAAAAAAATAAAGAAATTGCATCATGTAAATAATAATTTATTTATGTTCTGATATATATTTTTAAATAGTAATATTCTTGAATTATTGTAATAAATTATATTTTCTTAATTTATTTTGACTGATTTAAATAATTACATATTTATTTTATAAATTATTATTTTTTATTTATACTATTTATACTATGATTATATTAATAAATAAAAATAATTTAAAATAATAAATTTAAAGGAAAATAAATCTTCAGCATTGAATATAACAAAGCAGCTATTTATAATAATATTATACAATGTAAATATCATATTCAAGAGTATTTAAAAGATAATGGTAGATGTTATTTAAAATTGGATGATGAAATAATTACGTTTTAGGCACATACAATAATAATTATAATATTTAATTTATCATATGAAAATTGTGGCTTAAATTAATGATTTATATATCGTATTATAGGAGTAATTGTAATGACTTTACCACTCTTTAAATTCAATAGAATCAAATATCATTTTCTTGATATCAAACAAGATAAGAATATTTTTAATATCATTTCTATTAATGGTATATAACTATTTAAAATTAAACAAAATATTAATTAATTATTATATTAAAGTTTCCTCAATTTTAACTTTAAATAAAACAAAATAATTATGTTTTGATTTAATTACACTTCATTTAAAAAAAATTATACTGTATATCAAATATTCAGATTACTAAAGGAATGACCTTTTAAAATCTTATACCATTTATATTTCCTTCTGATCCTCTAAAAGAAAAATGATTTATTGCTAAGTCATTGCTTAAATTAAATAGAAAGTAATTTTTACTTAATCAAGTATTAGAAGAGGTTTTTTTTTGAAACATATGCACAAATATGGATTAATATCAAAAAAAATTAATATTAATTATAATGAATTATTGATGATAATAACTAAGCTATATTTTTTAAAAAAAAAAAATTTAATTAATTCTATCGATCATTTTCAAAATTAAATTCATGAAGAAAATCTTGATTTAAATTGATTTTTATAATTAAAATAGAAATTGTTTATATACTTTTATAAATACGTAAATAAATATGTTTCAATATTAATTATATTTTTATATATAATAAAAAATAAAATATAATTAATATAACTTTTAATTGACGTATAAAAAAAATTTTCTTTATTTATTTAAATTATTATTCATACTTCTATATATTATAAATAAAAACATATATATATACTAGGGAACGGGAACGGGATTCATTCAAAGTTCAAATCATGGTATATAAATTATAATATTATATTTCACATGATTAATTATTTTGTAACACAAAAGACATAATGGGTGTCACTTATAAATATATTCAATTTAATAATCAGTTTACAATGACCCATATTAATAAATAAATTCTTTTATTTGAAATCACTTTATAAAAAATTCTTTATATCAAAATATGAGGAGAATTCAAATGAAGAAGAATTACACATGCTTTTTGTTATACTTTTATTTCAAATTAAATCAAATCTATTTTAAAACCGCCCCGTTATTTTTGTTTTTGTTTTGTTTTGTTTTTAATTTTTTTTCTTTCAAAAAAAGGATCATATTTTAAAAGAGGACGAATCATTGGGGTGGTCGATGGACTAACATAAAAAATTACTATTGATATATTCAACTTTCACGTTCGTTTTCAAATGCTTAGCTCGACTTAAAATTGGAGACCATTCCCATTGAAATATCTGAAATCTTAAAAGTTTGATAACAATTAGTATTTAAATACTATAAAACAAAAAAATACACAATAACTTAAAGAATGATGGGATAATTTGCTTTTCTGAAAATGCTAAAAAAATATTTTCTTTACCTAGATAGCTATACCCGAAAATATTGCTTTATTATTTTTTGAACGTAAATAAACTTTATAAACTTTATTGAGAAAAATCAACTATTATGCGAAAGAGATAATGATTTGGTGTGTTTTATAAAATTGGAAATTTAAAGAATGGAAAGAATTCAAAAGTTATGGAAGCTTGAAGATGTATCGATTTAGTAAGGAATTTACATAGGACGTACCATACATAGATTTGATTTAATTAGTCCACCGACCACCCAATCGTACATCTAGTGAATCGTCCTAAAAAATAAACGTACAAGCTTTAATTATATGTGCTTATTCGACGAGTTTATTTAAAATAAATCAACCCCATTTATAAATAGTAATTTAATACTTAATTGACATCTATGATAATGGTTCTAAAAATTAACGATTTACGATTGCAGAGATTTCTTCAAAAGTTGATAATATGTAAATATGTTTACATAAAAATAAAACATGTAAATTAAAAAAAATTCAAGCTCATTCTATAAAGTCTAATTTAGAGTTTCCGAAACTACATTATCGCTAGTTTTAATGTGTTTTCCTGCATATAAAAACAAAAAAAATCAATTAGCATTATATGTAGTCGGTTATATGTATAATAAAAATTCTTACTTACTATTAACTTGTGAGTTGATTTCTGATTCTTCAATATCACGCTTTCTTGAAAAATTCCCAGATGAAATAGATGAATTTAATGGAATATTACAAGTTCCACTTTGATGCAATGTATTTGAAGCATTCTGAGTTGTGGATTTTACATCTATTGCAGGTTGCCTATAATTCATTAAAAAAAATATAAGGATTTCTAGCAAATCTTCATTTTAAAGAAAATTAATTTATTACAATACCTTGAAATATCAAATT